TATCGAACGCGTAGACATGACTTATTTTCTGTCAAAAATGAATTTTTTTCATAGAAATTTTAGCTTCCTATACTCAAAAATAAGACTGATGAGAAAAAAGTAAAATTTAGAAAAAAAAAACAGACCATTTCCGATGGAAAATCGTTGTAGGGGAACCCTTACTCTAAACTTTTATGAAAAAATTCTTAATTTTAAAAATTGTCAAATGGTACATCATTCAATGCAGTTTTCACGTTGATTCCAAATATGTCTTTATTTTTCTCTCAAAGTGCTTCTGTAATAAAAAAAAAATACGAAAAACCTTTAAAAATTAAGGTTTTAGAAAAGCTGTGTCTCAGTTCTGAAGCATTTACGCTAACTGAGTGTATGTTCCAGATATAGAAGAACATGCTTTAAAAGTTTCGTCGATATAGGTTTAGTAGAAAAAAGTAGCGACTAACTTTACACTGGAGATGTCTTTTCGGAAAACGCTTAGCATAAAAAGAATAATTATTTTTTCAGAATTCAAAATCAAAGAACCAAAAATTTTCTTATAAATTAATAGAACAGAAGTCCTAGTTTCAGATTATATAAAATTTATTGTTTAATTCTTTTTAGTTTTCATTAAAAAAAGCATGTTTTTCTTTAAAGATGTTGTATTTATGGTTAAGTTTTTCTAATGAATTTAGCAGTTGGGGCAATTTCTTTCTAACCAAAAACCTGATTGTTAATCAAAATGTATAAGTTATTATTGGAGTCTTGAAAAAGCTCACTTTTATTTTTTCACTTAATGTCCACGTTGTTGCCCATTGTGTCTCATTTTGATATTCTTTTGCTAAATATATAAAATAAATCGTAAGCAATACTGATTAAATATTATCATGGTAGCTAATTCACCTAACTCAAGGTTTAGTGAATTTTATTGTAACGGGCATAATATTTCAATTTGCCTGAAATTTAAATTTGTACAAGTTTAATTGCAAATTCGATTCAGATTGAAATAAGCATTCAATAAGTAAATATTAATGTTTGGTTATATTTTGCTCAATTAAATATTCTATTGTAATATTTTCAATTTTATGCTATTGTTCATGCGCGAATGTTGACAAATGAAACATTATATATTAAGAAATCTTATATGACCACAAATATGGAAGCACACTTCGTTCAGTAAAGAAGGTGTGAGTGACCACGTCGCTTGCCAAAACGGGACTTTCTGGCAGCGATCGCCTCTGCGTCATCCGTATCTCGTTTTTTAGACGCAGTGCACTTCTTTGGCTTTTAGACAAATTTTAGCTGAAATTAACATGAATTCTTTCAAATACAAATATATGCTCGAAGAATATGTATGTGATTTCGTCATTATTGCATAGAAACAATGATATAGAGAATACATCACAAAGGAAGTAGATCGTCGAACATATTTAATATTTTTCTAATTCAATAATATATGTTTCAGTGCCAATAGCATCACGTAGAAAATTTTAAACTTTTCGAAATCAAATGGAGTTTATCATTCGATTTCATTATCATTCCGGTAAAGAATACTAGAACAAGTATTGAAAATATGATTTTTTCAATATGATTGAATATTTTTCAATTTATTTCAAAATATTAATTTGGATACATTTCTAATTAAAATGTTCTCGAACATATTTATTAGTAGCAAACATTTTCGGAATTGTTTCTTGTTTCAGATTCGCATCGCAATTGAATGAGTTTGTTTTTGTTTGTCGCAACTCTTTATATGACAGTTTCTAAATAATACAGCGTCATAAATAATGATTCACTTATAATTTTGTTCTTTTAGTTCAAAAACAAAAATATATAACTAACGCATACAAAAGTATTAGGCATACTCTTGTAACCGGATAATATTACAATTGAAAATATAAGACGATAATCAAAAGCGAGAAATTAAAAAAACAACGTGTAAAAAAGCGTACCTTTTAAACTTTTATAAAAAATCCTTTCGGTGAGAAACAAACGAGCTGATGAAAATTGATGATTTCAAACCTCTTTTTCGTTGGAAAAAACAAATTTTTAACGCGTAAGAATGAATAAAAGATAAGCAATCAAAACGAGTAAGCACTCTATTTGCAATCTTTCATTGACGAACAACAAAGAAAAGAAAATGTTTTTTTCATCATGGTGCCTTTCCGACTTCTCATGTTCGAAATTGTATAATTTCGTTACCTTTATGATGCAAAATAAACGGTGTATATTAGTATTGAGTGTATTTGCTCAAGTTATCAATATATTCTACTTAGAATTCTCTGTCATCAATACATACCTAGCTGGCATAATATTCGTCTTGGATGATTACTGCCAAATACTGATATAAAAGAGAATGCTACAGAATGGCTAAATTCATCGAAAACAACAACACTCTTGACTAGAGCAAATCGAGTTGGTTCCAAATCTGAGTCCGGTCAGATCGGGATCAGAAACTTTTCTGTTAATCGAATCCAGATTCGAAAATTTTGGTCTCGACGGACTCTAGTCGTCTTAGTAATGTATAGGGTGCGCTAGTTACTGAATACAAAAAAAACTGGAACAAAAACTGTCTCGTACCTTTACGTTGACTATCCAATTCCGATTAGAAAATTTCGTTCAGAGGAATAAGGTACGGTTCGATCGCTAGTGATAGGTTTTAAAAAGTTGTAACACTATTTTTGGTGTATTCACAAAAGTTTTTTTTCTAGCTAAACTGCTATAATATTTATTAATTAAAACGATCCATTTTACTAGAAGTGAATGTCTAGAAAACTGATGTCATGCAAACGGCTATCATCGGAGATGTTGGTTTTTTAGTATTCTCAAATTCTGAATAAATGAAAGCAGAAAAAATGTTGAAATGATACCTGACGGATATAAATACATATTTTAACTAGATGAAATCCTACAGTATTCTAATATGAAACTCAAAGAATGACTTATGCATTAGAGGACTTTATACTTCATTTAGCAAAGTAAGTATCACATCGAACATAAAAGTATCAAAAACACAATCAATTGATTAGAGAGATAAATTTCTTCAGAACAGGTAGTCAACAGGTGTCATTCGACTGCAATAAAATTCAAGACTACTTGCCAATCTTTTAATAAAAAGACAAGAATAAAAAACATCGACATTATCTCAAAAAGTAGTTGCAAAATATTCATGACAAAAAAGAACATTGAAAATTTTTCTTCTATTACTTTAATCTATTTATCTCATGAGAGTATAATCAAAGTGAAGATAATTGAGTTCAAAAATACCAACAATCAAATAGATTCCAATAGTGGTTACCATTAACAGGATCACTAAAAAGTCTCTGATCAATAATTTTTTGCCACAAATATTGTACGGATAATTTCAGAAAATTTTTTAACAACAATTCGAAAAAGAATTTTTTATGAATGTAAATCTGTCTCAAAGATTAAAACATAAAACTCATTGACAATGAATATTAAATTTCTCAAAAAAGAAAAACTCTTTCTATTTTAACACTTGTTATCAACTTATCAACAAAAAAATGCTTACGAATCGTATCTTTGGTGTAAGCGATAGAGTTTGTGTATCGAAAGAAATTTAAATAGATATATATGTAGTATATCTATTAGACGTGTATAATACAACAAGAAATCTAAATCCAACGTACAAATTGTCGACTTACAGATTGAGTGTTTTAAATACATTCTTGAACAATATTTTCTAATACTGTATTTCTGTATATCAGTAATTTGTAAGATAGTAGAAATTCGAAATTGGAGCAAAACTTATTTTGCCATTATTGGATAGAACTTGTCGAGTTACCTATAAATATGTTGTTTTTGACATATTCAGACAATGTTTCAGGAAAATTAGTTTAAACAAAATCAAAGAAGCTTATAAAAATTGAAATATGCCAACAGTATTAAGTCTCAATACGTATCCTAAGTTTTTTTTTCGATTGTAATCGGCATATAGTTAGAAAAAATTATGCATGCTTTTTGAAAAATATTGTTCGATTGTTAAGAAGATGAATGTTTTTTTTAATATCATAGCAAAAAAAGACATAAATACGGGTTTGTATTCTAAGGTTTTGACTATCAGAAATTTAGTTCTAAAAGAAACGAATATCACATTCAGAATCAACACAAAAATCTGCATTGAATAATATATTCAATACTCAAAACCAATTTTCGTCAAATTTCTACCTTGATTGTAAGGACAGATATTTGACGAAAATTAGTTTTGATTATTGAGTATATTATTCAATGCAAACTTTTCTACTAATTCTGAATATGATATTCGTTCCGTTTGAAACTGAAGTTCTGATAGTCAAAATCTTAGAATACAAACCCATATTTATGACTGTTTTGCTATTATATCGAAAAAATCGATTTTTTCAACAATCAAACAATATTTTTCAAAAAAAGCATGCATTATTTGTTGTTCTTAATTATATGACGAGTAAAATCAAAAGAAACATTCGGATAAATATTACAACTTGATTCTTTTGACATATTTCAATTTTTATAAGCTTTTCTGATTTTTGTTAACCTGATTTTTCTAAAACATTGTCTGAATATGTTCAAAACAAAATATCTACAGATAACTCGATGAGTTCTATCCAATCATGACAAAAAAAGCATCGAAAAATATTTTGCTCAAATTTTGAATTGCCGGGACCTTATCTTCGTTTTAAGATGTCTGCTGTTGTGCTATATATATATATATTTAACTGTCTTCTAATATACAAGTTCTATATTTCAAATCAACAATACGATTCGCAAGCATTTTTTTTATTAGTAAAATGCATAGGAAATCTTGAAAAGATTAAATACAATACAACTTTTACAATTTAATATAAAACAAAATATCTATACATCATTATACAATGATCGAAATTCTGTTTTTTTTTTCATTTAAATAGATTTTGTATAGTATCGGTCATATATTTATTCTCCAATTAAAAAGATAAAATTATGAATTCGATAGTGTCAGTCACGCACATATATAGATATACATATATATATCATGATTAAAATACAATTTACATTCGTCGTTGTACAATAGCGAAACCAACAAGATACAGTTCAATTGGATATTCATTACTACATAAACGTAAATCATATATCGATAACCATGGTGTTCGTTGTGTATAATCTGCAAGAATTTTATATGATATTTGTCCATCACGAAAACGTACACTATTTAATGATGACATCTCCGGTGTACGTGGTGGTGATAATTCAATAATAATCTGTTGAAAATTAATAAGTTCAATAACATAAATAAGCATATTTTGTTGATATATACGTCCATCAATCCATCGACCTAAAAGTGAATTAAGTATACGAAAATTAAAAATTTGATTCGATCCAAGAAATGCATCAATATGTGCAACAATAATAAAATCATTAAGCGGTAAAATAGATTTAATTGTTGCCGCATATGACAATGAATATTGTGTTTCAATACGATAAATTAATTGATATTCATCATTTGTAAATACAGAAAATGAATTATATTGATATGATACACGAAAATCTCGTTTGATAACATACTGTTGACTATTAATAGTGCTAATAGTTATTATTAAACAGACAATTCGTAAGAAAATCGACATTTTTCATTAATTTTAACTTAATATGTAATAGGAACAACTTCTAAATTTTGTTTTTTTTTTCTTTTAGACAATTATTCTTTTTTTTTTTTCTTCTTTCTTTAATATTGATTGACGTTAACAAACAAACTCGAACGATCAGATATCATAAAGCATTGTTGATTGACAAGTTTTCTTTTTCTTTTGTTTTTTTTTTTGGTTCTGAATAAATATAAATACTATGAAATATGGTTGTTGTATAACTATGAAATAATTCGTATAATATATTTGATAACGATATGAAAACAAAAAGAAAAATTTGACCAAATATTTGTATTGACATAAAGAAAAGTATGCCAATTGGATAATTCCATTTTTTAAAGTATGCACGTTCTTTTTTTTTTTAGAATAAAAAATAAAAAACTCGAGAGATATTCAACAATTATCGTCTTGAAGAAAAATTTTCTTCTTTTTTTTTTATTACTTAAGTAATCACTCGAACTTCGATAAAATAAATTTAAAAAAAAAAAAGTATTTTTCTTTTTAATCTCTTCTATTCTATTTTCAATTTTATTTACTTTGCAATGATAAAAAAAGAAACAAGATAGTTTCGAGTTTTTTCTTTTCTATTGATTTCTTAATAATAAGTCGTTTAGTTTTATTATTATTTATCAAAAAGTTTTTTTTTTTTACTTTTCAATTTGTTTAGTTATATTATTGAAGCCATAAAAAAAAATGTGTTTAGGTAATAAAATGATTGATGTAGTGTGGATTGTCGATCTGTCAAGAGAATAACAACAATCTACTTTATCTACATGAAAAGTTTATTTCATTAAGATGAATGATAAAGAGAATAGTTACATGTCAACTTCTTCATAAAAATGAGTACTTTTGAATCTTTGTTTAAAATCATTTATTACGATTTATAATCATTTGTATAGAATAACAAAACCAAAATTCTACTTATTCATAATATGCTATAATTAACATAGTTATATGTCGTCGAAATTCTTCATGTATTATTTTTTTTTTCTCACATCTATCTAAATAAATGAACCATCGCCCATTGTACATATAACCTTTTCCTTTCTTTTCTTTTTTTTTCTCTTTTGTCTAGTATAGAAACAAAATAAAACAAAAATTATGTTGAATAGAAATGATACAAACGCTTATTTTAAGCGTTGTCGTTGTCTTTCTTTGTCATTTCATTTCATAGGATAATGCACACACACACACACACACACACACACAAATAGAAATAGCGAAATACAACACGCACAATGCAATGAACGTGAAAGACCGTTGGTGCAAAAGACACGCCTTTTGTGCAAATAGAACATACAAAAAGAAAAAAAAAGAGAAAAAAAGACGAAAAGACAAAAAAAAAGACGAAAGAAATCGCTGTACATAAACATTGAAGAAGAAAGTGAAAATTGATTGATGCTTTTATATGATCGATTAGTTCAAGTTTTTCTTTTCTTTCTTTCTTTAAATGCTTGAAGCATTGTGCCTCAACAAAACAAAAGGAAAAAAAAATTTCCAAAAACACAAAAAAAACATATGAGGAAAAAACAAATCGATCGACAAGTTCCGGAAAAGAATAGAACACAAAAAAAAAAAAAAAAAAGAAACAGTTCCATATCATCACCGAGACGGATGTAATGAAGATGAATGATGATATTGTCCGCCATTTGGTGTACGGTTATTATTTATTGAATAATCAACTAGATCCATGGGTTTTATTGTTGTTGATGATAGATGAAGTAAGTTTTCATTCGGTGATGTTAAAGTATTTATAATTGGTGTTGGAAATTTTGTTTCATTTGTATGATAATGATATAAGTTTGTTGTTGGCGATGATGATGATGATGATGAGTGTGATTTTGTTGTCGATGAACGACGTGAATCAAGAATATTTTTTACAGTTGAATCACTGGTACCATTAGATGATGGACAAATATTATTATTACTGTTCAAACTAAATATTAAAATAGATAAATATTTTTTTGTTTCTCTTAAACAAAAACAAAAAAAAAGAAGAAATTACCGATTCGGTGTTGTTGATAAATCTTTATTATTTGTTACTGTTGTTTGTGGTTGTATAAATGATCCGAATTGTTGAAAAAGCATTTGTGCTGTCCATGATGAATTTGAATTATTTAAACCATTATTTGTTGAAAGAAATGATGATGAATGTAAATTATTTCCATTTTCATCAATTTTTCCATTTGTTGCTGTTAATAAATTAATTGTTGATGGTTGTGAAAGAATTTGTTCATTTGGTGTTGGATCTTCATCAGATATATCAGAATATGCTGGTGAAGATGATATTGGTGGTGGTGGTGTTGGAATTTTTGTATGTATAATATTTTGTTCTTTTTTTATATTTAAATCAATATAAGAATTTTTATTAATATTTACTTCATCTTTTATATGTAATAGAAAATGATCAGCTTGTTTAACGGAATTTTTTAAATCATCTTGATCAATTCTATTTTGATTATCGACTATATTTGTTTCATTATTATTTAATTTACATCTAGAAAAAAAAAAAACAACACAAAATTTTGAATTCATTGATGATTATACAATAACAAAAATAAACCTTGTAGAATTTGGTGATAAATTTCGTTCAGTATTATTTAATGATGATGATAGAACAAGTTTTGATGATATTTGTGGACATGGCCAAGATAATGATGAATTTTCAATTGTTTTTAAATTTGATGATGATATATGATGTTCAGGTGAACAACGTTTTGATGATGGTGGTGATGAACGACGTACATAATCAGCAACATTAGCAAGAATATGTGCAACATCTTCTTCATCACGTGTATTTGCTTGTGGAATTGTAGATGTTATTAAATCAGTTTTTTTATGTGCATTAGTTAAATGATAATTAAGTGCAATATTTGATGCAAAACGTTTATGACAATGAGATTCTGAACATGAGATTAATTGTGGTTCGAGATTTGATGATATATTAGTTGGTATTGTTGTTGTTGCTGTTGTTGTATTTATTGTTTCTGATGAAAAAAATGTTTGTTGATTATTTGTTCGATATGGTGATGTTAATGGTGATGAATTATTTATTATTTCATCATTTATTGATGTTGAAATATTATTATTTAAACGTTTTGATTGTCGAGATTTAATATTATTACGAAGTTTACGATCATCGAGTCCTGTTGGAAGATTATTTGATGATATTTGTTGACATAATGATACTGATTGTTGTTGTTGTTGTTGTTGTTGTTGTTGATGATGATGATGATGATGATGATTTGAACATCGAGTATTACCACCGGCACCACCAGTACGTTTTGTTCGACTAGTTTTACTACTACTACGAGCATCATAATCACTTGTTGGTGACTCACAAGTTAATCTAATTTATTTAAAAAGAAAAAACATTTCTTTTTCTTCTTTTTTTTTTTGTTTTATTGCTTTTACCTCGGGCAAGCCCAATCTTGTTTAGTTGAATCGAGTAATGTGCCAACATAAGTTTTTCCTCGCCATGTTACATTAACAACGAGTACACCTAGAAAGTACAAGTTATAATTCCGTTATTAACAAGGTTAAGTCTTAAGGCATATATATATATCTATATACGTAAAATAACTAATAAAGCAAAAGAAAGAAAAAGGTGCTTCATTTTCTTTTTTTCTTTTTCACAAGTATTGCCGATGAATAATTAATTTCATACTTTCTATATATATACATACAATCATTATTTAAGTGAAAAAATCGAAATGACTTCATGCATATCATCAAAAAAACAACAACAACAACAATTTCTGTTCATTATCATAGTAAGATTATGCATAAACAACATATTCTCTTCTTTGTTTAATAATAATAAACTTCAGAAATTCTTTTTTTGTTATTATTAATATGAAAAAAAAGACCATCAACATCTGTTTTGTCTGATTATTTATAGTACATGTGTCATCACCTAAGCGCTCATGTACGTCATTAATATTATAACTTACTACTAGGTTTTTTCTTTTTTTTTTTTTTTTTTTTTATTTGATTACTATTATTGCTTACCGCTGTCGGTTTCATTCCAAACGATGCCCTCCAAAACGACGCTTGTACCCTAACAGAAAAGAAAAAAGAAAGAAAAAAAAAGAATATATTATTGAGAGGAAATGAGATTTAACGAAAAACAACATACGGGCTCACAAGGACCGAGATGATCAGGTTCAGTTGCCAAACCAATAGAGACTGTTTCGACACAGGCATCTACTTTGTTTGAAGACGAATGCTTAATAAAACAAGCAAAAGAATCATATAATAATAACGATTTCTTTTTAATATATATATATATATATATTATATATATATATAAGATCAGTTTCATCAGCAGACGCTGAGTAAATAAAAAAAAACAACAGAAAGAAAAAAATGTGAAATGAAAATAACTAATATGAAATCTCAAAGTATGAAATTAACAACTTAACTTACATTTGAATCATCTCGTTTAAAACGTTTTGTTAAAGAAATATCATCAGTATTTGTAGGTAAATCATTATTATTATTATCAATTGTTACAGAACGTTTTGTTGCGTGTTGCTGTTGTTTACCATTAAATGCGGGTGATGACGGTCGGCGTGTAGCTGTTGTATTCGTTATAGAAGTACGTTTTAAACGTTGAGTATTCGTTGTCGAACGAGAATTATTATCTTCTTCCGACATATGTGATGAAGTAGAAATAGAATTATAATTTTGTTGTTGTTGTTGTTGTTGTTTTGTTGTATGCCGCTTAATTTTAAGTACGAGCGGTGATGATGACGAACTATTGTTCATGTCATTTTCATTTGATATTTGAGATTGTTGCTGTTGTTGGGATTTCGATGATGTTATTGTTGTTAGACGTTGTTCGATGAGAAGATTCATCGTGTGATGACGATGACGAGGCGGCTCATGCTGTTGCCTTACTTGGTCTTTGTATGTGTATGTGTATATGTGTGTTTGTTGGGTGGTCCTATAACCGGGCAGAGTGAGAGAGAGAGAACAAT